GGGGTGTATGTGTGTGTGTGCACGTGCCTTAAATTTCGTTCTGTGCAGTAGACAAGGACTTGATAAGACAAGAACTTGAAAGAAACTGAAGTGTTTTCTGGCTTTTCTAGAGATATCTGGGCATGTCCATTTCTCTCTAGCTGAAACTCTGTCATCATAAACTAGGAAGTACTTGTTTCAAGTCATTACTAAGAAGGGGGAGAAAAGGTTTAGTAACAGTGATCAGAAAATACCAGACACGCTGGACATGGTGGCTCTCACCTGTCATCCCAAGGCTGAAGGGGGAGGATCACTTGAGGCCAGGAGTAGAGACCAGCCTGGGCAACATAGTGAGACCCTTATCTCTAAAAAAGCAAAAATAAAAAAAATAAATTAATTGGGCATGATGGTACATGCCTGTAGTTCCACCTACCCAGGAGGCTGAGATGAGAGGATCACTTGAGCCCGGGAGTTCAAGGCTGCAGTGAGCTATGGTAGCACCACTATACTCCAGCCTAGGTGGCAGAGAAAGATCCTGTGTCTAAAACAAATTATTTTAATTAAAAAAAAAAGAAAGAAAATAGAAATTACTAGAGCATGCTTTGGCACACAGTGAACATTGGGATGTTCCTTAATTCTGAAGAAAGAAACATTTGGGCTTGAGAATGAGTTTCTAAGAAGGTAGAGTGGATCAGCACTCTTTTCCCAGAAATTTCCATCTTGATCTTGATTCCTGAGTCTTGTAGCCTGTCCTTCATATATTTTACAATAAGGAATGCCAACCGTGTACTAGGAGCCAGGGCTCTCAGGCCAATGTTGAAGAGTTGTAGGGAAATTCTAGGATGAAGCTTTTGCTGGGACAAAGCAGATGGAAGAGTCAAGTTTTTCCAGATCTGGGGCCTACCTGTTGGGGCTGCTGTAGACATCTAGAGGCAGCAAGGATATCTTCAGTCTTTATTGTATAGTGCTGTTTTGTTTATTCAGACCTTCTTTAATCTGACTAATAAAACTCTTCCCTTGAAGACCTTTCAGTCCTTGCCTGTGAAAAGCATCATAGTTCTTGAAGTCACATGCTTTTGATTTCTAAACCCATTTCCATTTTCATTTGTTCAACCTGTTCTCCCTGTTTCATTCCTCTTGCTTCACGATGTTACAATAAGAATACATTCCTAGTTGTAGACCTGAGGAGCAGTGTAAGGCAGGGAGGCAGTCCCACAACTTCCTTGAGCCTATCTTAGGCTTAATTAAGCCTGTCATAGGCTTAATTGGTCACAGAAACAGAGGTTAGTCCCACATGATAAGAAGGAATCTGCTCCTACAAATGGAGTGGCTCTTGGGGAGAGCTTCTATCTCATCTTTCCACCAACATCACTGTGTGAACCAGGCATGTCTGTTCTCTGCAAGTTAAATTTGTTTGTCTGAGTAATAGGAAGGAGTATCCTAGAGGTGCCGATGAAGCTGTTTGATAAAAGCGGAGTTACACCTTTAAAAAAATAGCTCAACATCACTGATCACTAAAGAAATGCAAATCAAAACCACAGTGAGATACCATCTCATGCCAGTCCGAATGGCTATTATTAAAATGTCAAAAAATAGATGCTGGCAAGATTGCAGAGAAAAAAGAACCCTTTTACACTGCTGATGGGAGTATGAATTCGTTCAACCATTGTGGAAGACAGTGTGGCAATTCCTCAAAGACCTACAGACAGAAATACCATTTGACCGAGCAATCCCATTACTAGGTATATACCCAAAGGAATATAAATCATTCTGTTATGAAGATATATGCACAGATATGTTCATTGCAGCACTATTCACAACAGCAAAGGCATGGAATCAACCCAAATGCCCATCAGTAATAGACTGGATAAAGAAAATCTGGTACATATGTGCCATGGAATACTATGCAGCCATAAAAAGGAACAAGATCTTGTCCTTTGCAGGAACATGGATGGAACTGGAGGCCATTATCCTCAGCAAACTAATGCAGGAACAGAAAACCAAACACTGCATGTTCTCACTTATATGTGGGAGCTGAATGATGAGAACACACAGACACATGGAGAGAACAACACACACTGGGGCCTGTCAGAGGCGGGGCAGGGGTAGGGAGTGGCACTGGCAGGGGGCGGAGGGAGAACACCAGGAAGAATAGCTGGTCTTAATCCCTAGGTGAGGGGATGATCTGTACAGCAAACCATCATGGCACATGTTTACCTATGTAACGACCCTGCACATCCTGCGCATGTACCCCTGAGCTTAAAAGTTGAAGGAAAAAAACAAGTATTATAACTTGGAATCTAAGGCACAGTACTGAAATCTGTATTGCTAGTGAGGTACTTGAGTTACTATGGGCAGCTGACCATGCTGCTCCATAGCATATTCTCCAAAGGAAAGATTTCTACTTAAAAGGTGAATTTCTCCCATCCTGTTTCTGGAATTAGAAAACTGAGAACTACTAAAAGGAAATTAAAGTTGACATAGAGCTTTCTCTTTCAACTTTGTAAGACTTTTATAAACTAAGGATAGATTCACAGGGAGTTACAGAAACAGGTCAGAGAGTTTGTGGTTCCTTTACAGTTTTCCCCAGTGATTACATCTGACATAACCATAGTACAGTATGTCTGTGTCTGCTGTTTTATCACATGCATTGATTTGCGTAAACACCAATGCAAACAAAACAGAATTATTCCATCACCACAAAGACCTCCCTTGTGTTACCCCTATAAAGTTACACCCCTCTCAGCCACCACCTTCCTTAACTCCTGTCCATCTCTAATCCCTTTTCCATTTTTATGATTTTGTCATGTTGAGATTGTTATGAAATCATACAGTATGTGACCTTTTGAGATGGATTTTTTTTCACTTGGCATAATGCCATTGTGTCAATAGTTCATTTCTTTTTATTGTTGAGTAGTATTTCATGGTATGAATGTACCACAATTAGTTTAACTTTATTGAGGGGCATATTTGTTATTTCCAGGTTTTTGTTATTATAGATAAAGCTGCTATGGACAATTCATGTACAGGTTTTTGTATGGATGGAAATTTTCAGTTATCTGGGATAAATGCCCAGAAGTGCAGTAAATGTATGGTAAGTGTATTTTAGTTTCTTAGAAAAGTGACAGCATGTATTTGGGTAATGTTTTTTATCTCCTCTGCCAGGGGTGGGGGGTTGAAAGTCCAGGTTTCCTATTTGGCCTCTGTTAACATCCCTGGTGGAGGGAGGCAGGGCAGGGCACCTCATTACTGCTTGAAAGGGTGGGAGTTCTGGCTCTCCACTAGGCCTCCATTGATATTGCCCTGTATGGGCTCCTTACTGCTCCCCATGTGACCTCCAATGACACCTTGGTGGTTGGGGTGGGGTGCTCTTTACCATTGGAAGGTGGTGAAAGTCCTGCTTTCCCATTGGAGTTCTCTGATACCAGCCAGGCGGTGGGCGGGGGGGCACCCCTCATTACAGCCAGGTGCAAGTGGAAGTCTAGGTTCCCCACTGGCCTTTGCTGATAAGGTGGGGTGGGGCTGCAGTGTTTTCTGTGAGGTTTAGTTGGAGCAGGGTGGTTACTGCTAGGCTACCCCTTCCTTGGTCCCGTGGCTAGACAGAGCCAGCATTTCTTAGAGCTTTGGTGTTCTGTCTGTGTCATTGGTGCTTCTGGATTTCCTGGCTTCTTCAGCACCCAGTCTGAGATATATGAAGCCAAAATCAAACCCAGATAACTCACCACCGTGTCTTTCCTTAGATCTCAAGGTCCCTCACTGATCTGTCTTCTCTCCACTTTTCAGAGTTTTCTTATGCTTGCTTTATATATAATGTCCATGGTTTTTAATGGTACTTAGCAAGAAGAATAGAGAGAAGTGTATCTCTTCTGTCTTCATCCAGAACTGGAAGTCTGACAAAGCCCCGTTAAATGGCCATTTCTCCTCTGAAAACATAAATCTGATCCTGTCTTCACCCTTCTAAAGCTGTCTTATAGCACCCAACTTTCTAAAGAATACAGTTCCAACCCCTTATTGTTGACATTGAAGGTTCTTCACTGTCTCACCACATGTAATAAGTCATATCTTCTGCAGCTCCCCACCTTGCACACATACTCACCAGCTACAAAGAATGTCTCATGTACCATTTCTTCAATGTACCGTGCTTTTTCATGATTCCTTGTTTTGCACATGCAATTTTCCGGTTCAACCTTTTCCTCTTCGCTTGGTATGCACTTAGCTATTCTTCAAACCTAGTTCTTAGATTGTCTACAGTAAGCCTTCTGAGAGTCTCCCGGAGTTATTTGATCGGTGCCACCATATGAACATTTTCTTCTTTATATAACCTATTTCTTGTTTGAGTTGCTCTCTTCTGCCAAGTTTGAAGTGGGATTATCTCTATACATCTCTGTCCCATTTGACTGTAAATTCTTTGGGATTAGGGACTATGTCTGACTTTTTTTTGAGACAGAGTCTCGCTCTGTTGCCCAGGCTGGAGTGCAGTGGCTCGATCTTGGCTCACTGCAAGCTCCACCCCTCCGGCTTCATGCCATTCTCCTGCCTCAGCCTCCTGAGTAGCTGGGACTACAGGCGCCCACCACCACGCCCAGCTAGTTTTCTTTTTTGTATTTTTTTTTTTTTAGTAGAGACGGGGTTTCACAGTGTTAGTCAGGATGGTCTCGATCTGTTGACCTGGTGATCCGCCCGCCTCGACCTCCCAAAGTCCTGGGATTACAGGCGTGAGTCACTGTGCCCGGCCTGTCTTTTTCATTAATGTATCCTCAGCACATAGCACTGTGCTTGGCACATAGTTGTCACTTAACAAATGCTATTTATTTATTTATTGACACGGACTCTTGCTGTGTCTCCCAGGCTGGAGCGCAGTGGCACGATCTCAGCTCATTGAAACCTCTGCCTCCTGGGTTCAAGTGACTCGGCTGCCTCAGCCTCCCGAGTAGCTGGGATTACAGGCGCGTGCCAGCACACCTGGCTAATTTTTGTATTTTCAGAAGAGATGGAGTTTCGTCTTGTTGGCCATGCTGGTTTTGAACTCCTGACCTCAGGTGATCCTCCCACCTTGGCCTCCCAAAGTGCTGGGATTACAGACAACAAATGTTTATTAAGCAAGTAAGTGAATGGTTACTTTCAGATACTAGAACAACTAAAAACTGTCCCCATCTGTGTGACCAGGCTGAGACTACCTCACTTTTGTCATTACCATATATTCCTTTTAATTTTTCCTCTAAACAAGGTGACTTTGGGAAATTTTAATAATTTAACAATTTCTCCATCCTTCTCTTCTCTTCCTAAAGACTGCTGGCTGTCAGGCTGTCTTTGTATATACCCGCTGTCCCTACTGGTATCCTAAGGAGGTTGACCATTTGAAAGCAGGGCTGCCCTGTCAGTGGACTGATAGGTCTCCAAAGCCCATTCTTCAGGCCATTATGAACCATCAATCTAGTCTTCAGTACATTGAAGCCCCTACTTTTGGCCAGTTATATAAGGGCTGGAATGTTCTTTGCTAAGCATTCCAGAAGTTTGACTTCTATTGAGAAATAAAATATTTTTGAATACCTTTGGTCACCTTGCTTATCTATCTTTTGACTGTGTTAGCCGGGAAGAATTTAGTAGTAATTCTTAGTGAGATTTCAGCATCCAACATATTTAAGACAATAACTTCTTTCATTTTTATGACACTCTACTCAAGCCATACACACATCCTTGTCAACCCCAAATTATTCAACATGTATTACCACAAAGCTTACAATAACTCAGTGGGTTAAGTTGTATATATATACACACATACACAGATACACACACAAGCACACGATATTAAGGATTTTGCAGGTCAAAAATTAATTTTGTTATACCCATTGATCCTTTTTAAGAATTTTGATCCTTTAACCCCTGTATTTTGTTCTCATTTATGACAGTCATTGGTTTCTGTCAGCTGCAGTCAATATCTGACCCTAATACCAATATATTAGCTCCTGCACACGTAATTGCTCCATTTGCCAAATCTACTTAATATGGCCAGGCACTGTTACACTTTTTATATGCACAAATGTTTGATTCTTACAGCACTCTGTAAGGTAGGTGCTGTTACACACATTTTACAGAGGAGGGAACTGAGGCTTAGTGAAGTAGTAAGTATCTTGACCAGACTTGGTTCTAACTCCAAGCCAATGTTCTTTTTACTGCACCACTCCGCCTCTCAATAAAAGGGCCTCATATGAAATTGAATATTTAAAAGATTGAATAATTACAATTTATTCTAATATCCCAATTCTTACCCCCTTGATCAAGACTCTGGGTCTTGATTGTATTACCAAAAAATATGCTTGTCTCTGTTTAGTAAGACAGAAGTGGAAGGAGGCAAATATGTTCAAAAACTGATGCTTGTGGATGGGATAAAATTTTGGAGTTCTGTTACCTAGTGGCCTATTCTCATGGCATTTGTCCTTATAGACTTAAGCATTCGGATCCTTCTGTCTCTTTGAAAAAAACAGGGAAGACACTTGTTGTTGTGTCTTAAAGGGCATAAAACACCAACTGGCTACCCCAACAGTCCTGTGGGTGGTCATGGAACTTGCTAGCAGTAGGGACTGGTATTTGATGGGTAAAATGGCTTCTTTCTCACCAGTGTCTCATACTGAACCATAGGAAGCATTTTTGACAGAGTATAAGGCTATCCATATAAGAACTGAGGATCTTTTCCTTTAGCGTTTTATTCAGTAGCTCCTCCCCTCCCTCTTTATTTCCTTCAGATCCTGTCCACATTCTGCAGGGTTTGAGGAGGTGGGTGTGGGAGGGGGACCTGATAATAACAAGAAAGTGAGTCGAGAGTGGTGAGGTTGTGTAGGTGAGTGAAGGCACTCCCTGAGGCACAATATCCCTCTTTGCCACTCCCCCAAGCAGTAGGAAGCAAAGAGATCGGCCAGCTCACCAACAGGAGCGAGCAGGAAAGAGTTCCATCGTTGGTAGGAGTGTTCCCACTGCCACCCTGGCCCCTGAACAGGGATACTTGGCTGGAATTCACAGGAAGTAACTGTGACAAGGCAAAGTCTGTTTCAGTACCGGCCCTGCTCCCAGCTACTTGGTGCACTGTGAACAATAGCCGTACTACCATGAGGGCATATTCCTAATGCCTTTCTGAGAGTCCAGCCTCAGACAAGCATGGTCTCCTGTGAGGCAGAAACACAGCTTCCTGACAAATGAGCAGGAGTGACCCTGATTCTTGGCTTCTGTCTGTCTGAAAGGGAAAGACAGATGTTCCACACTACTGAAGTCTGGACAGCACCTCTGAAGCTCTGGAGATGGTCTCTTCCATTCCTCTGGTGATGTCCACCTACTGAAATGTAGCATCAAGGAACTTCAGCTGCTTCCTTGGCTCAGCTGGATTCCAATTTTATCCTTCCCTTTAGTCCCTCAGAAATAAGCAGCGGAGAAATAATTCCCTTCCTAGGGATATCAGCTCATTCCTCTAGTGTATTTGCCACCCCTTAAAGGAGCACCTTAACCTGGGGTACTTGTGATTATTGACGCTAGAGTGGGTCCATCCTAGATTCTGGGACAGCAGGTATCTCCTGGGATTGTCCCAGGCAAACCAAGACATAGAGTCACCTTACCTAGCTGGATAATAGCCACCTAACTGACTTGTAAGAGTGAAATGAACATACCCCCAGGCACAGTGAGTGGTCTAATCGGGTTTGATTCAGTGAATCGCCGCTAATGACAGTGGTCCTTTGGTGTTTCAAGCCTCTGCACCTTATTTGGGCCTCCTTTCTACTTATTGCCTTTCTTCTTTTCTCTATTCCTTTACCTTTTGTCGTTGGCGTGTTACCGTCTTCATTTCTGCCACTAGACCTATGCCCCTGACTGCCTGGGAGTAACAGAGGCTTTTACAACTCTGCTTACCCTCTTTTTCTTGATTCTAGGGCTGGTACCAGCCAAGCCCATTATTCTGGGTCCTAATCTGTTTGGTGGAGTTGTTACTCCACTTCTCTGACCTTGCACATAGGGCCTGGGCACTCCTAGGAATTAGGGGCAGGGTGGGGTTAGGGCTGAAACCCATTTGCTCAGACACTCCTATTTTATGTTCTATTAACTTTATTCCTCAGGGGAATACTTCCCTTTGCAGTCCTTTGTAGTTCACCCTTGGGTTCATATACAAGATCTCACAATTATCAGTGGAAACATACCCTGAAATCTTCAGTTTAGAGGCAGTCACTTTCAGGACCACAGAAGTCTCTGCCTGGTGGCTGCTTGCCTCCAGAAGGCAGAGCAGGAGTGACTGCCACATTGTCATGGCGGGAGCGCGTGAGGGCTAGTGTCTGTGAAGTGGGGGAAGAGTGGGGTCCTGTGGAATATAAGCAGGGCAGGAAGCCCCAGCCTGAACCTGTGCTGTGTTTGGGCCAAATATTGTCGCCACCCCCCCCCGCCCCCGCCCACGAAAAAAACTCTTGCGCTCCTAGAAGGTGCGAGTACTGAGATTAGTGTCATGCGGGGCCGCTGAGTGTGACTTCCAGCCCTCCAGCATCTCGTGTCCTACTCGTGTCCGAGCCCACGGCTTTTCAGGACAGGAAGCGCTGCGGGGTAGTGCGGGCAGGCAGGCACGTCACACCGGACAGCGACCAGATTGCTGCTTTCGGTTCCCCGGCGGGCGGTGAGGCAGAAAGCGCAGGGCGGAAAGAGGAGCCCCAGCACCTCAGAGCTGTCGGGCCGTGGCCAGGAAGCAAAGCACCGGAGCGCTGTGGTGCCAGCGGCCGGACTAGGGATGACCGGCAAGTTTGCGCTGGACCCAACCCCGAGGGCGGTCAGGCGCAAGGGGGCGGGCGCTGCCGTACTCCAGCCGCGGGGTCAGGGCGGGCCGGCCGGCGGGGCATTTAAACCCCGCTGACAGCCAGTCCCGCCTGGGACACGCGCCCAGCTCCGTAGCCTCCTCCGTCGACTCAGCCTTGGGTACCGGTCGGGCAAAATGCGGTCCTCTCTGGCTCCGGGAGTCTGGTTCTTCCGCGCCTTCTCCAGGGACAGCTGGTGAGCGGGGCAGGGGAGGGAGGCACACCAGGACCTCCCGGGCTCGGGGCTTGCGAGGGGCCTCGGAGATCACCCCCAGATCGGCCCTGGAGTCACCGCTCGGCCAGGGGTGCTGGCGGGACTTGGTCGCGGGCTCCTCCAGCGGCGCCCACCTCGGAGGTTGATAACCCTCCCTGCCTAACTCCGCCCGCCCTCCCCCAGACCCCGCGACGCTGGCTCTGTGACACTGGTGAAGAACAGGCTGCCGGGGAGGGTCTCCAGCGTTTTCCGTTTCCATCGTCCCCTCCTAACACACACCCAGGGCGCTTTCAGAGCGCCTTTCTGTAGTTGAGCAGCTGGGGAACCTGGGCTCGCAGGCTGTGGAACCGAGACCAGGGGATGGTAGAGGAAAGGGGTGGCCACTGGGGTTTGTGGGTGTCCCTCTTGGTCTCCTTTAGCCCTCAAACGCCAAGGCCAGAACTCAGTGGTCCTGGGAGCTCGTCTCGAGGCCTTTCAGCACCTGGAAAGGGCACAGCTCTCAGAGCAGAGCAGGGCAGCCCCTGAGCAGGGCGAGGGGTTTCACAGTGATTCTCTTCCTGACCGCAGGGACCACATGTTGGGCTGCAAGGTGGGGTGGAGGGGTTTCAGCCACTCTTTCTTAGAGGCAGTCAGCCACTGGAGCAGTCCGTTTGGTCTGCACAGTTTTTAAAATATTGTGTGAGTTACCATTATTTACAAATAAAATTTAACAAAAATAGCTAGATGCCAGACTTTTCTTGAAAAACAGACGATGTGGACCGGGCATGGTGGCTCATCTTTGTAATCCCACCACTTTGGGAGGCCAAGATGGGAGAATTGAAGGAGGCCAGGAGTTTGAGACCAGCCTGGCCAACATCTCCAGACCACCACCACCCCCGCACCCCGGTTCCCCCCTCACACCCCTCCCTGTCTCTATAAGTAAAAAAAGGAAAGAAAAGAAAAATGGATGATGTGGCAATACCGGGCCTAAATTTCCAAATTAAATGAACAGGATTGAGGAGTCCCCTTTAGATACGGCAGATGCTATTAAAATGGCCAATTTGTCCTGGTTTTGAAACAGTCTTTTGTCGGCAACCCTCTCAATCCTGGGGCGAAACGAGACAATTGGCTACCCTACACATTTTTTAATTGTTGAGAGCTCTCATCAGTTCTAGCCTTCTTCACTAATTTAGATTATCTACCTAGTGTTTTTTGAGTTGGTGACTGTTAAAAGTTATTTTTCAGAAAAAGGTTAAAATTCTGACTCTCACAAAGACATAAAAATGAACCCGTGTTAAAGATTTTAGTTTACTCATAATAAAGGAGCCAGAAGATGTTATAATCGGTTCAAAAGAGAATTTAGAGAGGGGGATTGGGGAATTATTGTTTAATGGGTATGGAGTTTCAGTTTGGGAACATCGTCAAGTTCAGGAAATGGATGATGGTAATGGTTGAGAGACAATGTGAACATACTTAATGCCACCTAAATGTAGACGGAAAATGGTTAGAATGGCAAAATTTACATTATGTATATTTTACAATTTCAAAAAGAGAATCTAAAGAATATATTCATTTATAGATTAGGAATACTGAGACCAAACTGGTCTTCTACAGGTTGTGAGGGAAGGCTACTGAAATAATCTTCACAGGCATATTTTGCGTGACTTCTCAGTTACCTGCCACTTCAAAGAATTTTATAATAGCTCAAGGTCAATTAAAAGCTGGAATCTGATAACCTGGAGGACTATCCGCTAGACAAGGCATAGTTTTCCACGGACATACATTGTTTTTCTACAGTCTCTCCTGTTTTGATTTTTTTTTTTTTTTTTTTTGAGACGGAGTCTGGCATCCTCACCCAGGCTGGAGTGCAGTACGCAATCTCGAAGCTCACTGCAAGCTCCGCCTCCCGGGTTCACGCCATTCTCCTGCCTCAGCCTCCCAAGTAGCTGGGACTACAGGCGCCTGCCGCGCCCGGCTAATTTTTTTTCTATTTTTTTGTAGAGACGGGGTTTCACCACACGCCATTCTCCTGCCTCAGCCTCCCAAGTAGCTGGGACTACAGGCGCCTGCCACCGCGCCCGGCTAATTTTTTCTATTTTTTGTAGAGACGGGGTTTCACCATGGTCTCGATCTCCTGACCTTGTGATCCGCCCGCCTCGGCCTCCCAAAGTGCTGGGATTACAGGCGTGAGCCACCGCGCCCGGCCCTGTTTTGATTTTTTTAAAATTTCCTAGAAAGATTATTCTTGATCACAAAATAAAGCTGGTCTCATTGAATTTGACTTGATTATGTACATAGGTACTACAAGTGTATTTTACCCTATAGCCCTTGTTAAGTTAATAAACTTGACTGGAAGTTTTCATAAGGAATCCTAGATTCGATTTTTTAAAGCCTTTAATTATTTATTGTCCTGACATTAGAAGCCGAGTCAAGAAACTGTCTCCACCAGGTTTTACCTACTGTACTGATATATTTGGGCAAATTCCTCTTCTCAGGGTCCCCAAAATATCCTAAAGTTTCTGGGCTAGCCAGGGAGTGACCTTCCTTTTGGCTTGTAAACCTGGAAACCCAGTAAGCCCGTTTTCTTGGGAGGGTTTTCTTAGTATTGGCTCCATAGAGTGAACCTCAGTTTTTAAAGGAGGCTGGTTGTAGCTGATTAAATAGACATCCTGATCAAATACAACATCCAGGCAAGGTCTTGGTTGAATAACTGATTTTTCTAATTATGTACTGGTTAAAAAAAAAAAAAAAAATTCTTACTCAACCCGTGCAAATAACCATATTGCCACGAAAAGCAAGAAGATTCCATGAGAGTTTCTGAATTCTGAGGAGTCAGGTAGGGAGAAAAATATATTTATAAGTGTTTCATTTCAGTTTATGAAAGCAGAATCTACTAAGTTGTTATGGGTTAATATAGCCTAAGAAGAAAGAGAAAGGTCTTCCTTATATGTCCAGAAGATAGAACACTATAACAACATCAACAAGATTCTGAACCTAGAAGACAGTCATCCATCACCAGTTCATGCGGTCCGGTGTGATTAATTCTGTTCCACTGAATCTTGGGTTAGCAATCTCAAACACCTATCTGCTCCTTGACTAAAGAGTTCTGGAACTCCTGACTCAGTCCACTAGTACGTTCTTAATGTTGTCTAAGTGGTGCCATCAGAAGCCTATACCCGAGAGCAATTACTCAGTACAGTGCTTTTCTGAGACAGTTCTCGGTTGTTAAAAATAAAAACTCTGGCCTGCCAGGCCCAGTGGCATGCTTACAGTCCCAGCTACTCCTGAGGCTGAGGTGGGAGGGTCCCTTGAGCCCAATAGTGTGGGACTGTAGTGCACCATGATCATGCCTGTGAATAGCCAGTGCACTCCAGTCTGGGCAACACAACAAGATCCCATCTCTTAAAAAACAAAAAACAAAAACTCCCCCTCTATTCTATAACTGAATACAGAGCCTTTAAGAAGCATCAGCGTAAAATAAAAACTATCTGTAGGTGACAGAGACTTAAAAAGTGTTGATTAACTTATTACTGATAATTTTCAAGAATGAATGATCTGATAAGAATTCATGACAAGAATAATGCAACTGACAAGGAAATTTGGTTGCTTCTGTGGTATGCAAAACAAAAAGATGCTAATCCAAACAACAAAAAAATCTAGACAATATCTAAAAATATAAGGCTAATTTCAAAAAACATAATGAACATGATATTAATTTGTAAAAATGAACATGACTTTTACAGAGAAAAAATCTTATAATAGATAAAATTTCTGAGATATAATTTACATAAAATGCCAAGAATATCCACTGAAGATACTCAGTAAGCTTGAGGTAAGTCCTAAACATCTGTATTTTAATAAAACTACATAGGAAAGGCTGATGTACAACTCCAGTTGAAAACCAGTGGCCTGGAAGATGCTAGATTTAAATTAAAGAAGGAAAGTTGCAGCCCGGTAACTTATTTTATTTTATTTTTTTATTTTATTTTTCTGAGACAGAGTCTTGCCCTGTCACCCAGATTGTAGTGCAGTGGCACAATCATAGCTCGCTGCAGCCTCAAACTCCTGGGTTCAAGGGATCCTCTTGCCTCAGCCTCCTAAGTAGCTGGGACTACAGGCATGTACCACCACACCCAGCTAAGTTTTTTATTTTTGTAGAGACAGGGTCTGGCTATGTTGCCCAGGCTGGTCTCAAACTCCTGGCCTAAAGCCATCCTCCTACCTTATCTTCCCACCTCATCCTCCCAAAGCGCCAGGATTGCAGGCGTGAGCCACCTTGCCCAGCCTCCAGTAACATTTTAAATAATAATTGAAATCGTGACTAGTAACACGTATACTGTTGTCATCAGGGAAGGCACCATCAGGGTACTGATAAATAGAAACATGTCATGTACAGAGAGGGCATTGAGAAATCTGCACAACTCTCATCTAGCATATAATTTCTCAAATATTTAGGTAAATGGTAATATTTTACCAATATAGATCTAGCCTGGAGAAGGCTGAGCATCTTTTCCGACTTGACAATTATTTCCAAGCAATTAATCGATATTAACATATTAAATAAATCTAATTATTTCTAGCACCTCTCTTTTTAAAAGATGAAAGAACAAATCTTTGTGGTTTTCCAGGAGCCCTCCCTCTTTTTAAATTAAATATTCAAACTCATCAAGATTTTGCCAACTTTGGCAAAATTTTAACGCATTTAATTGCTTATTTTCAGACTTACTGTTTGCATGTACTATAATCTAAGACAAATCAAATTTTCTTTCTACAAACCTACAAATTTATCCATTCAGATTTGAGCTTCACTGTTCTCTTTCTTATTCTGGAACAACCAGTCATTTTTCTTACGTGTAATATTTTCCCTTTTAATAAACAGAAACAGGTTTCAATACGATGTAATCAAAGTCATACTTCTCTGCCACTATTGCACCTAGTAGAGTGTCATTCAAGTATGTTGGTTATATCTTTTAACCAAAGTAACTAACATTTCAGAGAGAATG